CCAGGGTTCTTTCCGGCCAAGGGTTTGTTCCAGCCAAAGGGCTTTGTCCAGACAAAGGCGGCTTCCAGAACCGGGCTTGTTTCCAACCAGAGGCTTGTCAAAATTGTTCTGGGCATTTTCCACCGCCAGGTCTTTTCCAACGCATGGTCGTTTCCAGCCACGGGGGCTTTCCAGCCAGGGGTTGTTTCCAGGCTGGGCTCTTCACCCTGCTTTCAATCCTCAGAAGCGCGACTTTCCAGTTTCCAGCCTTGTCGATTCTTCTCAAAAGGCTCAGCTCGATTTTTTTTGCACATCGGGCCATCTCCTTGAAACCTGACGTCACTTTGGAAATTCCCAGATCTTTTCACTTCGTTGCTCCATGGCTTCAGTTATTATGGAGAGTGTCGTTTTTGTGTCGATTTTGCACATTGGCGTGTACTTGGAGGTTTCCAGATCTTCTCACTTGGATTCGTGGCTCTATGGCTTGTTTTTGAGTGTCGCATTTCAAATCAATTTTTGCACTCGAGCCATCCCCTTGAACCTAGCGGGTACTTGGAGATTGTAACCCTGAGAGAAGCGATAGAGAGAGTGTGACAAAGGTTTCGTTCGGCAAGCTCAATGCAGCTTCGTCGGCGGTGTTCATGCTTTTGCCTCTTAACATGTCCCACATATTCGTCATGATTGGCTTTATTCTATTTCTTGCATTCATGCGCATTCACAATGCTTTAATTTTCGAAACTTTGTTGAATTTAAATGTTTTTGGGAACCCATTCAGATTGACTCCGTTTTGAAATGTTTTACTTTTCAAGCAAGCACACAGTTATGTTGTGATCGTTGGGATACGTTGCCTGATCGATTGGGACTTCTGTTGCCAGTGCAACACCATGGATCCACGCGTCCAGGGCGGTGGGAAGTTCATACTGACTTTAGTGATCGAAGTACCTTCTTCAATACATGTTATGTTTCGGAATGCTCTTCTATCTGCAGGGGGAGCAACAATCTAGGAAGAAGTATATGTCTTTCAATCGTAGCACGTTTCCACAAGCCACACAGACTATGTGCTACACTCCGTTTTTGGACTCGTATTTATTAACATAGGACGAAGCATTTCATTTTCAGTGTTTTGCGTGGAATATGTCAGGCTATTTCCCAACAAGGCAGAGCGAACGAGGGCTTTGCATTGTTTGGGGATAGCGGATAAGTCGAGATTGGAACCAGAGTACATCGTGTACACAACACCATCTACTACATTATCAAACTCATGGTGCGGGGAGCATAAGCAATACGCTCATCATGTCAATGTGCCTAAGTTGTATGCACGTTCCGTACATGCAGCAGATGTTGGACAGGCTAACACAGGCTCTTTTTGTTGATGTCGACACCGCATTTGTCGTGAAGCCACGATGGCTTATGCTGGATGCGCTTAGTAAAAACCCGCGCCAATGTGCAGGCAGAGCGTGGTGTGTGATGTGTCGGCATCGACACTTTCCGGAGATGCCGTCCATGCATGAATGAAAAACGTGTCATTGTAGTCATACTCGGCAGACATGGACATTTGCAAGAACACGACCCTGGTTAAGCATGCAGCGAAAGCGCCGGCATGTGATCATGGATGTGCTTATGCACGTGTCGATTTGATGTGGGCGTCGCGGCCTTATTGCGAGTACCCGCAACACACATCCTTTGACCATGTCATGCGATTGTCGCATGACACTCCCGGAGGCTATGCTGCTCCATTGAGTTTTGCCCAAAACCTGCAAATGAGTCTTGAATGCATAAGAACATAGCTTTTTGAGGCGTGTCTCGCTATTGATATGTGACGACGTAAGGTTTCTACAACGATCAGTTCATCACCTTCGCAGGTCTTGATCCTGCAAGATCTTGCGAACTGTTCGTGAGCCACTTGCCGCAGGGACAGCCTTCGCCTTCGCGCTCACCAGGCCAGCTGCATCACAGTCGACCCGCTCACGTGTTAAACTGTACCGCAGTTTGAATCCACGGTATTTGCTGATCAGGCAACAGCAGGAGCCCGGGCAGCGAACTTGGCCAAACTGCCACGAATGGAAGCTACCAGTAATGGCTAGAGAATGGTTGCTCGTGCACTGTCCCGCTACGACCGAGGAGGATCAAGCGTGGTTGCGGTTGACAATGCAGACGTTATTGTGATGCTAAACTCGTAGTGCAATACACCTGAATCGACATGTTTCGCAATTAGGGTGGAAACATTCCACCACTTCTTCGATGCTCTGCAAGTGCCTGGGTACGCCTCCAGGGTAGTGTTTGAACTGCAACGTCTTCGCAGAGCCGGCCTCGGCTTTCGCCCGCATGGCAGCTTCAGGCACGGCTTGTTGTTGGCATGCTGTGTCACTCACTCTTCAAAGCATTTGCCAGTTGTGTCACTACATGCCACTGCTGTGGTCCTCATCATGACTTCCTCATTTGTCAGCTCCGCCGACTGCTTACTTCGGCTCTCTCAGCAAGTATAGGCAGGTGGTACGTTTGCATCACGATTGCACAGCATTCCGTGAGTTTGTAGCATCTGTGCCAGCGCCACCGCCAGCGAGCACTGCAGTTCACTACTAACGATTGCCATAAGATTTCGGAGTTGTGCAGCCTCACGAATCGAGAGAGAGATGGAAGCATCCACGCTCGGATCCCAGGATCCCGAGCCAGTCGGGATGGATCCGTTAAACGATTGTCCGATTTGTTTCGAGACGTACGAGCGGTGGATGGAGATAGAAGGAGGAGGCGGAGATCCACCACGACATGCCGAGAAGAAGCTAGACTGTTGTGGTCAATCCTTGTGCTTGCACTGCTATGGCCACTTGCGCAGATGTCCCTTCTGTCGTGTGCGTTGGCACGGAGATTCAGAAGAGGATGATGATCTGGATCCGGACGATGCAAACTTTTGGCAACGCAGGAATTTTCCGAATCCAATCCTCACAGTGTGGGGTACTACACTAGCACTGGATTTGATTCGGGTGATGACCTCGTCGGCTCTGACAGGTGCGCGAGCGATTGCAGCAGCGGCGACAGCTGCAGCCACGGAGTCCCCGCTGCTCTTGGCAGGCACTGCAACAGGTGCTGCCGTTGTGGTTGGAGGACTTGCCCTCGTGAAGGCCGCGCAACATCGGCCAGAACAGGCAGAGCGTTTGCAGCAGGCAGTCCGCGATCGGATCCGACATCAGCTTGTCCTCCGTGTTGCGGACAACATCAGCAATTCATGGCGGAAGGCTGTGACAGAAATTTGGGATGCGCTTCATTGGCACCTCTCGCCACAGCTCAAGGGGATGCCACATGTCTATACTGGGTCGATCTGGCGCACGAACGCTCGGATCAAGCACCATGCTGCGCTCGCTGCTCTTTTGCGCAGTGATGGCAGCCAAAACGAGATACCGTCTTCTGCCGCATCGTCGTCGTCAGCACAAGCTCCCTCGGAGGACACCTTCGTCAGGCTGCGCATTTGGGGTGATGTGGTTTTCTGCTTCATGCTCTGGCTGGATTACAATCCGCACACGCCGAACTGGGGTGCCTGCACCTCCTACGGGTTGCCACATCTGCACTTATGCTGGCACAATCGCTGGAGGGAGGACAGGCTGTTGCATTGTTCTCGTGACCCCAATCTAGTTGTCCACTGAGTGCTCCCGACATTTTGCAGGATTTGCGGTACGTGGTCTGTGACTTGGCCAGACATGTGGAGAGCGAGTACGTCCAGGCACGTCCGTGCAAGTGTCCGTTCGGCCTAAAGAGTAGTGATTCGCATTGACGCCAGGCATCAATCATCACGACCATGATCAGCATCATGTTTCGGTTGTTAGTGCCATCATCAAGTGTGGTCATCGCCATCAAGCGCACCACCGTCGCAGTCATAATGATTTCACTATCATCATGGTCGTTTTTTGGCGACAATGCTCAAACTATGATCATTGCCTCCAGTATGCAGGCTGTGCTTCCACGCCAAGAGCTCAAGTGCGTCTATGCCTTAAGTAGAGAGGTCGAGTGCCGATGTCGTGTGCAAGATGTGCGAAACTTCTGATGATTGCAGATGCATCCGAAGATATCCCAAGCACATTCCCGGACAGCTGGAAATCTTCTGCACGGTTCGCACGCATCGTAAACGGTTGGAGACATGTTGATGTTCTGTCAGGTCGAATGCTTACTTGCGATGCTGGACCATGTCCTTTCGTGGGAGGCAAGCAACCTGATCGGTGACTTGTTCTGAGCGGGCTCTAATGGTCTGCGTTGCGTGCAGGTTGTGACCTTGGACAGAGGTTCGCCTCACACTCAGCTTACTGAAGGGCTGATCGTTGTTTCTCGTTTGCCCGGCGGACCTCACCATGCAGCATTGGGGGACCGAGAGTAGCAGATGACTCAGTCCTCATCCGACGAAAACTTAGATGTCATTCGGAGCACTCGTGGCGACAGCTTATGCTGCCTTCGAGTTTACACTAAGTGCCCTTTGAACCGCTTTTGCCTGGGAGCGAGCCATGCTTGCACCGAGCGGAGGGGTATCCGCACTTTCCGTCGCTCCCGTCGCTGTGCCGATCTCTCATTCAGCGAGATTTCTGACACAAGCGAAGGTTGACGCTTGCCGGAGTGGCGTGTGCAGAGTGCTCACCGCTGCACTGTGTCTTCCCGCTCTGAAGCTTGTCTCTGGAGTTCGCCACAGAGTTTCAGGTCGGAGCAGAATTTTTCGAAAGGCGGAGAAGGCGGAGACGGAGGTGGAAGCGGAAGCAGAGGCAAGTGAAGCAGAAGTGGAGCTCGATGAAGTCGACGGAATTGACGAAGACAGCGAGGCGCAATGGCGAGAAATCCAGAAGGCCAAGCCAAGGCCACGTCGCAAGCCTTTCGACCCGACTCTTGAGCCTGGTGCCATGGCACCCTTGGGATTCTTTGACCCTCTAGGATTCTGTCCCTCCGGTGATGAAGGCAAGTTCAAGCAACTGCGGGCAGCGGAACTAAAGCACGGGCGTGTGGCGATGCTGGCAAGTGTCGGCCTTGTGGCCCAGTGCTACATCCGTCTGCCCTTCCTGGGTTTGAAAGAGTCGCCGGCTGGCTACAAGGCTGCCCTTTTGGTTCCCTCCCTGTGGATGTTCGGTCTGGTCGTCATCGGCTCCATGCTTATGGAATGGCTCGTTTGGAAAGAGGATCCCTGGAAGGAGCCTGGCAACTTCGGAGATCCCCTCGGCTTTAACATGTACAACAGGGACATGCGGGACAAGGAGCTCTGCTTTGCTATGTGCTGCCTCAGAACAGAGTCTCAAGAGTCCATCTGTCTTCTCGCGGCCAGGAGCTGAACAATGGACGCTTTGCGATGTTTGCAACATCTGGCATCCTTGCAGCGGAGCTCCTCACGGGCAAGGACCCTCGGTCTTTTGTAATTCCGATAAGCTTTCGGGGTGCTGTGTCATGATGGATGTTAACGGGTGTCGCCAGCCTTGGCCTACAGTCGTGATTCACCACATGCTTGCAGCACTAGACCTTGCAATCTGAAACTTGGTATCATCCCTGACCCGCAGACGGCAGCTGAGCAACTTGGACAACTCGGTCTGAGCTGAAGTCGAAACTGCGTGGCTGAGCAGATTCAAGCGCAAGACCAGATGAAGCGAGGTGGAAGATGGGCTTTCGGATTCGAGCTTCAAGCGATAAGTCGCAAGCACCAAGCCACCAAGCTCCTTGGAACCCCCAAGCCCCGCATCCTAAACCCCCTCCGAGGTCCGAGTTGATTCAGGCAAGCCTGCAGGGGACTCAGCTGTCCCGGCCCTTTCGCCCTTTCGCCTGGCGATGGCATTGACCTCGGCCTTTCAAGGTGGAACTACGCCGACTTCTGCGCCAAGCTCAAGGTGCCCCTTGAAAGGGATGGCCTTTTGCTGACATGTATCTTCTCGGCAAGGAGCGTTTCGCAGAAGCCTGGGCAGCCACATGGGCGCCCCCAGAAGCCGAAGTGGAGGCCTGTCGTACTCGGTGTAACGTTTGCGTTTTTGTTTTAAGCCTCTCGAGGCTCGCAGCTTCGAGACGCATGCAGAGGCAGATGTTTGCTCATGGGGGAACAATCCGGGAACAAAGGTTTGTCCAGGGAAGTCATCTTGTTGGGCAGGCCATGGCCTGGCGCCACGTCCCGCAGGGCTTCCGTGAAATCTGGTGCATGTGAGTCCTGCGCAGTCTTGTACAGTCGCGTAGCGCACCATGCAGGACCCAAAGCGGCTTCCTGTGAGGTAGCCAACTGCAGGGATCGGGGATGGTAACACCTCGAGGCAGATAGCAGCAGATTGCCGAGCCAGGGCGCTCTGTGTCCCGGAGCTTGCCCGCCGCCCGAGTGTTCCAACTCCCCCAATTCGGACGTTGTTGAGATTGCTGCCCGAAAAGGTTGCGAGACCACACACTAGCAGAACCAAAAGTGACATGTATGAGAAGTTGCTGCGGAAGCGTCGCTGGTCTGCAGCATGCCAGGCGATGCCGAGGCTGAAGCAGACAAAGTCCTCACAGCAGTCGCTGGATCCTCAGAGTAGCCAGCCGTGGGGGTTTGTGCCGCACCCAAAGATGTGGCTTGCTCCTCCCACTTGCTTAAATCTTTGCCTTGCCGAAGGTGTCTGCAGGCTTTGCGAAGCAGCTGCCCGCAGGCCGCTTGTTTGATTTCTCGCAGTTAAGGCAGTCTAACTTGTGTGTTTTGCTGGGTTGGTAGTCCCGGACAAAGCATGCGTTGACTTCGAGACAGAGGGAGGGTGTGGAGAGAAGCTAGTGGCTTCAGCATCGAATCCGAGGAAGACCCGCAGAAGAGATAACCTAGCCAGGGTGGAAGATGCAGAGGGCTTCAAACCCATGCCTTTACAAAGTGCATCTGCAGGCCTCGAGGCGGAATCCACACTGCTTGTGGCGAATCTGCCATTTGCTGCTATTGCCTCAGGTCATGTGCAAGTGGACGTAGCGCAGTAGCTAAATGCTTGGCATGCCTTCGGACGGAAAGGGGCCCCAATGCTACCCACCGTGGGACTTTTCAGGCAACTTCCCTGGAAGTGGGTGCTCACTTCTCGTGGAAGCTCCGCTGCAGTAGACCAGGGCTACTACCCGCTACTTGTTCAGCCGCTGACTACGTTGTTGGCAGGTATGCGCCTGTTGTACGGGTGACAAGGCCAGGACCAGGAGTCTTCCCATTACTATGCACACGAGAAGAGCCTCTACCCGTCGCGAGTGCCACTGGCTCTTCAGAGAGAGACAGCATGAGAGGCGATGCCAAGCTAGCTCGACGGGAGATGCAACGCAAACACAGCAGTTTGCATTTGCAATGCCGGTGCTTATCGGTCCATCAAGCAAGTAGGCGTGGGCTAGTCTGCGGCAGTTTTGGGGCCGAGACATGGGCTAAGGCGAAGAGCAGACAGGCGCTCAGCTCACGAAATAAAGCCGAAGCTACCCGCAGCTTCAGCCATGTCCGTGGCGCTTCTGCATCAGCTCCTCCTGTTGGAGGCGGCGGCAGTGGCCGCTGCTGGTGCCTATGCTTGTGTAACACGTCTGCATCCCCCGCATTCAGCACGTACTTAGCGCGTCTTAGCGCTTAAGCGCAATCCAGGCTTGTGTGGGGCCGTCGGGGGTGTCTGAGAGGTCAAGGGAAATCGAGTCGCTTCGGCTGCGGGCCTGCTGTGTGCAGCTCTCCTAGCCGCATGGCATCAGATATGAGGTGCCTTAGTGCCTTGCATGTAGGCCAAGACATGGTGTGCATCAATCCAGGCGGCTTTTCGAGAGACAGCACCCCTCAGTTCAATGATCACCGCGGTGTTGGCTGCTCGGTCTCTTTTGTTGAATAGTCTAACCGTGAACCAGCAGCTTATAAAGTTGTGTGGCATTGCCCACGACATACCAACGTACAGGGCCTACCGTATGTGCTTTGATTTAGAATGTTCTGTAGCAGTTCAAGATAGGACTTAGTCCTTCTTAAGTTCAGCGCATGTGGGGGTTAAGGACTTGCGAGGTTTTGTGCTTATGGGGCTTTGCGCTTCTAGAGGGTTTTTGGCGCTTTCGGCTTGCAATTTTGCAGGTTTAGGACGTCTTGGGTTTCATGCAGTGTGTGTTTGCGTGTGTGTCCATGCGCCGCTACTGCTGTTTCGTGACTCTGGACATCCGCATTGCATCGCTAGTCTGCGAATGGGGGAGCACCTTGCGAATAAACCCTGGAGAATTGCTGAAACTTTGATTTAGAGTTTCGGGCAAATGAGACCTGCTAATTGAGTTGCCGCCCATGAATCGTCGCATTTCGCAGCAGCATGCCCCTTGGAGTAACATCTGTATGCATGGCGGTTTCTTAGGACGGAAAGAGTGCGAGGCAGGCACGGCAGGAGAATTCGAGATTAGCGCCGAGGAAGCCGCTGGAATCTAGGCTGGCGTTTTCTGTCTGCAAGGCTCCTGGAAGTGGTTTCGTGACCTAGATAGACACTGGCAGACCGAGGCTGGGTCCATGTACTACAAGCACAGCTGCATTTGCGCAGACGAGAACAACAAGACACTGGACATGGCACGCCAGATGAAGGCCGGTTGAAGCATGCAGATGTTTTTTGATGCCGTTTTGAAAACGTGCAAATCCCAAAACCCGTGCACGGATCTGATCGTGTGTGCAGATCAGCCTCATGACAGAAGAAGAGGAGGCCCTTCAGGCGGTGTCCAAAAAGATGCCTGTCTGAAGCCCATGACTGTTGACACGCGCACGGCATGCCACGGCAAGATGTCTCCGAGGATTTCTGCCGCTCTGGCCATCTCTAGCGGCATTTTGTGCTGCTGCTGCGTGCTCGACATCCTGCTAAATCCGGCGGAATGAGAGCATGATGCCGCATGATGCCTTGTAGATGCAGGCTGCTGCGCAGTCCATGTCGTTAGCAGGACCTCAGCTAGCGCCCACATGGAACACAAAAGAGGGACTTCGCATCTAGCCATGCAGGTTGGGTGGGCAACGGGTCCGGGTGTTCCAGAGTTGCAGGCTCGACAAGACGGTTACTGGGACTGACTCCAGCTGTCTTGCGACGGACTTGGGAAATCTGGAAGACTGGAACTTGGAAAATGCACGCGAGCATGAATGTATCGATTTCTGATGTCTCAGTCGCCAACCCGATGGCACAAGGTCACGTTTGTGGACGTCGACTCGGCCAAAGCAGTTCTGGCCCCGGCATGGCAAACTGAGACACCTAGACTGCTTTCCGGCTTGTCTTACTCCGTCAATTGCACGAGGCCTTGCAAGGGCAAGTGGGTGTTTATCCTCATGCGGGAGGCATGGACACAGAGAACTACTGCCCGTTTTTTTCACAAGGCCACAAGGCCATGCGACATACCACAGGTTCTTCGCGACCCCTACGTGTGCAGCAGTTTAAATCGCAGGCAGGTTGCTGGCCCAGTAGGGAATCGCGCTTACACCTTCGGGACGCCACGTCCTCACCTGCAGGAGAGCTCGTCTTCATGGTTTGGTTGGTGAAGCGGTAGTGAAGTGGTTTGCGACGGCGCCGGTACTGCTCTGCAAAGATGTCAGAGCATATCCCAGAATGCAGGCTCAGGAGAACATCGTTTCGAAAAGGTCCTCATTGCCCTCAGTGTCCATACATGCTGACGCCAAGCAGTGGGCCGTCTTCGATGAATAGGAGTCAGGTGCAGAGTGGTCGTCTGAGGTTCTGGCACGACTGCAGCTGCAGCATCAGTCGCTGTCCCAGAGATGGAGAAGAGCCATGTATGATGCTGGGCTGAAGTGCCCTTCGACACCCTCATCGTGTGGGCTGCTATTCGCCTCCCCGGTTTCCCCTGCGGTTGGAGTGGTGGGTTGTGATCCGGTGCCAACGGTATCCTGCCCTGCCCTGCCGTCACATAAACATCATCACTGACTTCGAAGGCGAGAGTCACCCTGCGACTGTTGGCATTTTGCATCGAAAAACAATCCCAGCCTCCGAAAACGACGATTGTCACAAGATGTCACAAGGATCGCACCCCGATAGCAGAAATCCTCAGACTCGGGATCCTTTTGTGCTCGGCCTGCTTTCTGCATTTGTGCATGCCGAGGTTCCTCGCCTGTCCAAGAAGGCCCTGATGTCTGATTCCTGCTGTGCTTGTCTCACTTCACCCTCGCCTCCTTACAACATTGTTCTCAATTGTTTGTGGGCCCTGTCATCTGATGGAGTTGATGGCAATGTGCTGTTGCATCTGGCTCGGAACTCTGAAGCCATAGCAGGGTGCTTGAGCTCACAAGTCCGACCTTGAACCTTGATCTCAGAACTGTGACGCACTTCAAATCAGCTCCAGCAACTCATTCCATTGCAGATGCAAGTAGCCGCAGCCCTGATCACCTTGGAAGTGCGTGTTGCACCCATGACTCTGTTAAGAAGAGGTGCCCATGGTCTGGCTTGATGGCATGCCCGCGTGTAGCCGTGCTCAGCTCGTCCTCAGTTGGGACCGTGAACCGATTTCTGCCGATAGTCTCCGAATTGGTTCAGCGTAAGTGTGAGGTACGGTATTACATCGCAGATCCTGCGTTTGAGGAAGCGATTCAGCAAACGGGCGCCGCGACGGAGCTCTTCGATGACTTTTGTGGCTGCTGGCCGGATCTGCTGGCTCAAGATGCACAGAGCTTCTTTCACTCGGAGAAAGTACCTACGGTGGTGAAAGAGTACATGGAGTTAGAGCGATATTTCTATGCCTTACCGGCCGGAGTTTGCCTGGCGAGACGATTGCTGCAGCTGTGGGAAGCACCGGGCGCGTGGGTCCCCTCACTCGTCATCTATAGTGTTGCAGACCTGCATCCGCGCCTTGTTTCAACCAAGCTTGGAATACCGTGTGTTGCAGTTGTGCCGTTCTTCTTGGTGGACCGCTATCCGGCCTGCTTGTCGGATGAGCAGCGAGGGTCTTGGCCGGGGGCCGTTGTGGAGCATGAGAGTGTACAGGCCGCAAACGCGATCGCACAGGATGAGTTTGGTACCAATTGCCTCAAGGAGTTTCTGCCATGCAGGTACTTCAGCCGCTGCTTGAATGTTGTCGCCTCAATTCCTCAGATCGAACGTGAGGAAACTTTGGACCAGTCCTGGATGAAGGAGCTTGCATTCGTGTGGGTTGGTTTCACCGGAAATCAGACACACCACATTAACGGGGTCTTTGTGCGAGATTCCAATAAACTGCACCGACTACCAAGTGATGTCTCGGCAGTTGACTGTCCCTGGCGGATGCCTCTGCCTGGTGGAGTGAAGATTCTGGTCGTCAGCCTTGGGTCCCACATCGTCGGGGATGGCTGGAACGCGTTGCACAAGTCAGAGTCTGGCCCGGTCACAGGACGTGACTTCAGCCGACGAGTCTGGCGTGAGCTGGTCGAAAACTTCCGTGGCCGCAACGACGTCCGCGTGGTGATTTCCATCGGCCCTCAGCCTGATGCCTGCGAAGGGCTCGGCAAAATCCCGGGCAACTTCATCGCGCGCCGAAGCGACATGCCTTCCACAGCCCTAAAGCTATAGCTTTCCAGCAGCCACACTCCGACACGGCAAATTGACGGTGTTACAATAAGTAAAGGTAAGATCAGTGTGTGCTTGCATGCTTCAATTTGCTCATGACACTTGCCGCTGTCTCTGTGCCGTGGCTTGTCATTCCAGGTATTGCGCAGATGGATGCGTTGTCCAGAGCGAGTGCATTCATCACGCACGGTGGCCGCAACAGTGTGATGGAAGGCTTAGTGGCTGGCTTACCCCTGGTGCTCATCCCTTGCAAAACAGACACCCGGCCGAAGCACATCTTGCCCAGTAGTGCATCTTCTTGCTGCAAACACAGGTGTAGACTGACTTGCCTTCGTCAGAGAGCTTCTCTCTGTGTTTCCAGGATGATCAGGAAATGGCCAAGCTCATCGAGAGCTCCTTGGCACAGTTTCGGGCATTGAAACAGTGATCGTTCTTCGTTTTATTTCTGAGGGAGTGGGGCCGGCGTCGTCTTGTGGAAGCCCATGGAGGCTCCAGCTGGAGCCATCGCACAGGCTGGATGGAAAGCCTGGAAGCCTTCCGGAGCACAGTGTCTTGGGCTTCTGCCAGGCTGGACATGCCGCAATGTTTGGAAGCGCCGCAGCTCCGAGCTCAGACGGTGTTCAGACGGGGTCTGAGTCTGAGGGAACCGCGCGCACTCTTCGTTCGACACTCCTGGGAGGCTTCGCAGCGGCTGCGCTCCGAGGAGCTCGGTGCACAGCTGCGAGCTGCGGGCGGCTCGCCGGCGGCAGCCGAGGTCCAGAGAAATCTGGCACTCTGTAGTCTATACTGTACGGCCTGGAAACACTCTCATGCTCCTTGGTCTTGGCAGATGTTTGCATGGCAGGCGTGCTTGGAGCAACTACAATATCAGTGGAGCTGACGTATATAACTTATGACCTTCCAAGAGCCCTGGCCGCAACAGAGTTGATCACAGCTAGAAGTGAGACACTGCTGCAGAGTTCGGAAACTGGAATCATTTCTCGCTATTTTTGCCTTGCTGTCAACGGGCCGACAAACATGGACAGAGGCATCAGGTTACTGCAACAGTTGGGGGGTGCGCCGGCAAAGGAGATTGGCTGGAACGAGTCGACGGATGGTGCATGTTCTGGGTTGAGGGATGATCGGCCTCGACAACGTTGGCTGCGCGCCCCTGAAAGAACGGACGAGTTGGAGGCAGTTGCGGTGATCTGCCATGACGCGTCGAGCCCGCACGAGAGACCTGGTGCACCGTTACCAACTTGAGCAACGAGGGCGCTCGGCAGTGATTCGGCTGTCTGCCGACGAAAATGCTCTGAGCGCAGTGAAGCCGAGAAGAGCCCAGAAGCCAGAAGCTGCCTCTACCAGAAGCAATTTTGTTGCAGGTTGTGGACCAGCTCGGAAACCTGGAGGCCGGACATGGCCGGACTGGAGATTGAGCCGGGGCCGGAGACCCCTTGGCCAGACCGCGAGCGCGGCGAGTACGCAGAAGAACAGCACCAGGAGCGCGTACTCAGGCTCCAGGGAGACCGGCGGGCGCAGGGGAGCGACTTTGCAGTCGTCGAGTTGTGATTCGCTTCGCGGTTTGATTGGATCGCAGGCGCAAGCAGTATCGGCAGCGAGTTCATCAACGATCAGATTCCGCTGCATCAGAGAGAGGCGCATGTGAACCGCACTTGCCGAGCTCTGGGTACTCGTAACGTGTTTTCTGCCTCTTGAGCTTCGCTTTTCCTGACTGCAGAAGGTGGCGAAGATTCAGTCGCAGATGAAGAGCTTCGTCAAGGGCATGGTCCGTGGCCGTGAGATGAACGTGCTGTCGGTACGCCGCATGACTCCCGGCCAAGCCTTTGCCCTCTTTTGCCTGTGGTTTAGGATGCCAGCTGCATGATGCCTCTGTGCATGCGAAAATCCGCTTTACCGGGCCTCTTCCTGGCTTGGAGGCCGTACTGGCCAAGCTCTGCACTTGCCAACGAAAGTCGCGCAAAGACCAAAGAGAGTCACCACGAATCCGAGTCGTTTTGTTTTCCATGTTTTCCATACCCAAAGTCTCTGCGACACTGAGCCCAGAGCCAATGCAGTGCTTCGGGGATGGCTGGAGATGCTGGAGCACCCTTGCGTCGAGTTGCCGTCGCCTCCTCGCTGCGCAAGCTGTCGAGGCCAGAGAGAAGTTCTGCCAATGCTACTCTGTTTTCTTACCATCTCTCTCAGAGAGTTTCCCTTCCTGCAGCCCGGAGGCTCCGGCCAATGTTGCAGGCACGTGCAGTGCCATGTTCGGGATCTCCAGCCCGCGAGTACTCCTAGGGATTCGGTGCACTTCCTGAGTGGTATAACACTGTGCCGGGAATCGAGAACGGCTATTTCCACTTGCACCGTTTGTACACCAAGATTACCAAGATGACGTGTCATCTTGCCCAACCACCGCCCGACTCATCTTGCCGTGTAACACATGTAATAATGTGTGAAAGGACAAGCCCGGCCTATTCGATACCACGTTTCTGTGTCCTGTAGATCTCCTCCCGTCGCGATGGCGGCTCCTCCCATGAGGTGATGGCGGCGATCGACACCTTCCGGGCTGCCGTCGCAGCTGGAGAGGACGTGTCGTCGCTTTTCGGCGGATGGACCGGCCTGGCGATCAATTCGTCGCCCGGCGCTGTGGCCTCGGCTGCGGCGACGAAGGCGAAGGAGAGATCAACCGGCGGGGACGCAGGACCATCGGATCCGTGCCGCGGAGCCACTGGCCGATCCTCAGACGATGTCAGCAGCAGCCGGCGACACCGGCGTTGGTCTCATTGGTCGTCGCTCGCTGGCGGGTGACGGGCTGGGATGCAAAAAGCGTGCCCGGCGCCGTACAACCCTGCTCTGGCGAAGGCAACGGACCCGGCGCGATGCGCTTCCAAACCACTCAAAAAGAGGGCCGTCGTACCATTTTGGTTCGCACGTCGGGTGTCGAGCTTGTCTGGCTTGACGGTTCCGCTTTCCCGGCACGTACAGCAGCGGTGGTGGTAGTAGTAGTCGTCGTCGTAGTATAGGAGTAGGAGTAGGAGTAGGAGTAGGAATAGGAGTCGGAGTAGGAGTAGTAGTAGTAATAGTAGTAGTAGTAGTAGTAGTAGTAGTGGTAGTGGTAGTAGTAGTAGTTGCAGAAGAAGTAGTAGTAGTAGTGGTAGTAGAAGCAATAGTAGTAGGAGACTGCTCTTACTGGGGTAGCAGCCGCAACCTGTATGGAGCCCGGCAGGAGCCGAGCCACGCTCCGGAGGCAAAAGGCTTGGTGCTCAGCGCCAGGTAAAATCATACCTCGGGGTTTGATGGTCAACAGCAATCTTACGGTACTGCACGGTCTTTTTACGAATCTTTTGGTAACCTTAAATATCTTTGCGGTAGCCTTATTATGGTATCTTCATCGTGACCCAATTCTTAGCTTATGGACTTATAGTGACATGATGCCATGGCATCCGACAGCCCAGGTCTCAGAAGAAAAAGGCACAGGCCTTGGGCAACCAGACATCGCTGAGCTTCTGAGCGTTTTCCAAAGCCGAGGCCTTGCAGGCAAACTCAGCTTCTCAAGCATCAGGCGCTGACACGGTTGGGACGACCCTGGCATGGCCGATGTGGGAGAGTTTTTTTGTGCAGGTCGGCGTGGACCTAGTGGGCAGGACCGGGGAGGGCATTGCCTGGCCTTATGTTTAGCCCCTTGTTCCCAGTAGGCTTGTTTCACCTTGTTTGACGAGAGTTGATTTGGAGTTTGTGTTGAGATGACTCAGCTCCTTCGCCTCTGCTCGTCGAATCACAGCTGCGGCTCTGCTCGTCAAGGAAGAAAAGTGTCAGGCAAACACAAGTAAAGGTTCATCCGAAGGTGGCTACGTTGTGCCAATGGTACCACATAAGCTACGTTGCTTGTTGTATCTTGTTGTACCATCGGACTTCCATATTTTTTTTCGCACTTTCGCAGGTCATTGCTGTGATCCGTTTCATCGGGCACAAGCGGGCTTGACTTTCTACTCTCCTGGGCCTAAGACTTTGTCTTTCTCACGTGGCTTGTGCAAGCTTCGCCTTCTCCGTGTTCAATTAGCCGCAGTGCTTGGCTTTTGGGGCATGTTCTGTCTGATCTGCGCTGCTGGGCTCAACAGACTATCTTCCCGTGAAAAGTGCTGATAAATCATGAGGCTTTGAAGCAACGAAGAGACTCCGACACTAGTGCATCGTCGCTCATTGAGACTTTGATTTCTAAGCCTTTGCAAGGGTAGTGATGTTTCGCCTGGGGGCCCCGCTCGCCCTGCCGCTTCTGGGCCTGCTCCTTCCTGCGGCATCGCTTCCCTTCGCCGAAGACGACGAGTGCGACGGCAGCGACGGCTCCGAATGTGCCTTGCAGGCTTTGCAAAGACGTGCAGTGCAAGGCCAGGGTAGAATCTGCTTTGCCTTCTTCAGTTCGGCACCTCTGTTGACCCACAGGTGAGTCCTCTTCCGAAGTCTCCCTGGGAGAGTCCAACAGCAGCTTCCGCTACTGCCACGAAAGCTGTTGGTTGAAGTACGGCTTTGTGAAAGGATTGATCAAGTGGGATGTTTTTTGGTTTTGTTGCCATCTGTCAGGTAGTAGAGGGTAGTTGGTTTCAATCACATGTATGCTGTCAAGCTGTGTGCAGGAGACTGCAGATGCGACGTGCACAGGGGTTGGTACATGTGGATATGTTGGAAGCGGAATGGGGTGCGCATTAAGCCGGAGTACGGCCATCAGTTCAACTGTCATGGCCTGACACATGCGGCCCCGGCACCACCCCCACCGCCCCCACCAAAGGAGTATACATCCTCCTACAATCCCAAGTACCGCGTGAGAAACCCAGAGCTGGTGAATGCCAGTACTGCTCCGCTCATGACGTTCCATCTCTACCGCGTTCAAAGTGATGCCAACTATAGCTGTTGTGCAAATGCTGACTTGACGACGGCTGGTGCAGCCATGTTCTATTTGCACAACGAGATCGTCTGGCACGCCAAGTCGCGAGCTGGTACGAATTTTGCAGACCCGAAAACGCGAATTCGTCGGTACAAAGTGTGGACACGAGCCACGCAGCCTTTGTTCGACCTCGGCATGAACTTCGGCGTCGATGGCTTAGTTTCTCTCCTTCAGAGGGTTGGGTATGCAACATTGCATGTGAGACATAAATGCGATCCAAGAGATCGAAAGTCCACACGTGAACGCCTCGCAGAGCTTGCTTTCTCGAGTCGGGGGGTTGTAAACCTTGCACCCCGGAAGACCGTGTGGAGTGCACATCCAGACAGAAAACAGGTTGAATGGCAGAACCTCAGCTCTCCAAAGAGTGCGGAGTGGGAACCCAGAAGGTGTCGGGAGTGGCAAGTCACAAACCCTCGAAGTGTCGGACTAGACATTCGCACACCGCGCTGCACATAGTGACATAAGTAATTGCAGTCGACGACCAGCAGATGAATCAGCTAATCACTACCAGGAGCGATGCTGACAATGCGCATGGTCATGACGAGCAGGTTACCATGATTGTTCCTACAGAATCATCGTAGTGACTTTGATTGATCGGCAGCATAGTAATCATCATGCTTCACAGCGGCTCCCTGATCAGCCACAGCCATCACGACCTTGACCATGCCGAGACCAATAATTGGGACGTTTCCCGAGGCGAGCTCGATGCAACAGGCTCGACACTTGAAGTCCCGTGGGTCCAACCCTTGTGACAGCGGCACTTTCAAGCCCCTGCCCCAAAGGCTTCGAAAAAGGCACACACCCCAAAAGAAAGCATCGCCACAGCGAACTATTCGGGCTTTTCAATAGAATGTGTTTGGCTGCCAACGTGCAAGGTCATGAACGAGTTCGACATTACAGAGTGCACCGGCCCCTTCGATTGCGAGAACTTTAAGCGCTTTGGGTACACGGTTGGCTGCGAGAACTGGGTTGAAGGATCAGCTGCGAACTTCCCACATCAAAAGTGGCTCCTTGCTTGAAGTAATCTGATGTTAGGCGGAGCTTTGTACTCTGTATATGCCGCAGCATAGTTTCTTCGACTCAGCGTGAAGTCGCCTCTACACAGATGGAGCGATCACAGGAACAAGTTGAACTTCTATCCGAATGCTGCATGGTTCAGTCGGGAGCTTATATGAGGAAGAAGGAGATGTCCCGATTCGTAGATGTCCTGTCGTGGCCTGCGTGTCTTTTCCCGCTCTGAGGCTTGCCAGGCCCATGCCCCTTTGGCAAGCTGGACGCGAAAAGTGCAAGCTGCAAGGCACAGCTGGGCAAAAGGCGTTTGGGCAAATGCCTTGGAACGGGTTGTGGACTCCTTGACTGCTTGAGGCAACTCAGCCGGGTGGCCAGTGTCCCGAGGGTATTTTCCCAGATGGATCAGGCGACGTGTGCAGCGAGCGAGGTGTCGTAGAAAGATCTTTACAGCATGTCGCTGGAATGGCAGGGGACTGCACCTACCAAATCGCTCCTGCTGGAGAGATCCGCATCGATGACTTGGTCGGCATCACAGAGGAGACCTGCCAGCTCTGGCCTTTTGTATTTCCCACTCATATTCGCAAAGTTGAGGAGACTGGCAACTACGCCAATTTCATCAAGGTAGGCGGACGTGAAACCCAGCTGCAGTCGGCAGCAGGTTTCAAGGGCGTTTCTCGTGCGTGAACAAGAAAATCGGGTGGAGTCGATCGAGTGCCCACTGCTGGGCTGAGGAATACGATCCAGTCATCGACCAGGGTGTCCACTTGAACTTCTGGGACGGACGGTGCGGGGACGGCACCTATGTAGCTTTCCAAGACCTTGGTGTGCCGAAAGATGCAACTTCTTGTCCTGAAGCGACAGGTTTGATGCAATGCTTTGTGAATGGCGGACCAAGAAGCTGGAAGACATGTCTCCCTGCTTCAATCGGCAACGGCATGGAGACGGTATCGGTTTCGTGGCTGTGCACATACTCAGGTTTGCAAAGAAGTATCCGGACGATCCGACCATCGAAGCGCCGGAGTGTGTCTTGGCTGTTGAGTCGCCCTTCTTGCAACAAAAAGCAAACATTGGGCCCGGGCTGTGAAAGCTTTGGGCATCAAATCGTGCAGCAGATTTGCGACAGTGCCGGCTTGTGCAGGTGACTTCAACAAGTGGCTGCTTTCCTGCAATATCTCAGACTTGCAGCCCGAATTCCAGTTCTGGGCATGAAAGATCCTGACCAAGGAAGTTCTATCACGGCACTTCGCACAAGCCGTGAGGCCCGTTGCGGCACCAGATTTGGACGTTTCACGCCGTTTCCCATAGCGTCAATAGAAGATGAAGCCCCTCTTGAAGCAGCGAAGCTGTGATGCTGATGCTTGAGACTGTAAACGGCCGTTGCATGCAGCTTTTTGCATCACTGGCTCTTGCTCTGAATGGCCGCAGAGTCTGGTTTCCAGGAGCTCAAGGGTCCCGAGCAGAAGACGACTGCCGTGATTGCTTGGGGCCAAGCTCGGCTAAGTCCTCTGTCTCTGCGCCGCTGCGGCATGCTACGCCCGTGCCGTCAAGAGAGATCAGGTGCCTGAGACAGGCTCTGAGAATCCGTTGCGCACTCCGACACTCGAGGCCCACCCTACCATTTCGGTAGCCCTTTCAATCTGCCAGTTTCTCAACAGGTGGAGAATGTGCACAAAGTCTACGATGCGATTGCCAGTCACTGGAACCACACGTCGCTGTGCTCGGGATGTTCTTCATTTCGAGATGCGCTGTCACTTTGACAGAAACCTGAGGCGCTACAAAGCCTGGCCCAAAGTGGAGGCAGGTTCATGCAAAGGTTCCGCGGACGGTGAGGTCTTCGGCTGTTGGAGCCCCCAGGCATTTATCCGTGGCTTGCCGCGTGGATCTTTGGTTGCTGATCTTGGTTGTGGCCAGGGCCTTTGTGACAGATTTTTCAGAACTGCGCACATGTGAGCACCGCTTGGACGGTTCCCGTAACAACATCACCTTGAATGCCAACCAAAGTAGTGACATCACGCTTGCGGCACTCCGTCTGCTTATGCAGCAGGCAATGGCAAGAATTTGCAAGCGGCTCAACCCATGCTTGTGTGGGTCCGACTTGCCAAAGCATATCTGCGGCAATTGAGGCCACATGTCAAGGAAGCTGGATGCTTTCCGGTGGCGAGCGTTTCTGCCCTACTGAGTGTGCGGCAGTGCACCAATCCATGCCCCTGCGTGAGTCCAAGGACATCAGCGGACCACTGGCAGAAATTGCAGCCAAGGATTGCTCTTGTCTTAGCCGTGGGTGCAACATACGGTCCAAGATGTACTGGCGCTTGCAGGAGCACGGAGTCTGCAGCATGGCCCCTTGCCCAGAAGATGATGAAGCTTCAGAGATGGAAAGAGATGATCTTGTGTGAAGGTTTCTGACTGCCTGTGTGCGCCGTTGCGCAGTGGCAGTTTCGATGCAGTGCTTTCCATTGCTGCCTGGCCCTTATACTTTCCGTCTCTCCCAACTGCACAGTCTCGACCAGCTAATTACTTGCAGGAGATTCGTGGTCGTAGTATATCTGCAGAGGTTTTACATCATTTGTCCACCGAGCCTCGGCGCGTACAGGCGGGCAAGAAATATGCAGAGAGTATCTGATCTGCCCCGAGCCGCTTAGCCAGGCTCTGCGAGAAGCCGCGCCGCTGGTCTCAGTCGCCGGTTAAGAGACTTTGGGGTTTGGGGGGTTTAGAGTCGATTCTTTTGTTGTGTTCTGCACGAAGTGGCTTTGCAATGCTTTGCACCCAGGCGCTTGCTCAGACCAGGCGGCCAACTCCTTGTCTACTGTTGGAGTTATGAGCCCGGAGCTCGGATTCGGAGACTTCGCGATCACCTTTGCGCTTGCAATGAAGCCTCAGGCAGGACGACCAGCGATCGCGGTCACGGCACCGGTTCCAAGCCCAGGCTCCGCAACTTGCCGCAGCGTCGCAGCACGCTTGTAGCAGAGAGAGAGAGAGAGAGAGAGAGCCCCTTTTGTTTCCTCCCTCCGGGTAACGGCTCACCCACAGCACCACCACCACTGGCACGGGGACCTCCCCTGAAATTATGTGATTGCCCCCTACTGTGTTTGCGGTACCTCGCCCCCGCCCGTTTTACCTCGGGGATCCGTGCCAACACTCACAGTCACTAAAACCACAAACCCACAGGTAGCACAAACACCGACACAACGAGAAGGAGGGGGCTGCAAGAGTGGTACTTGAAGTTGCGGGGTCCAGTGTTGAGTTGTTGGATGTGTTATAGGCTGTTCCGCAAAAAGGTCCCCTCCATACCAGCACCCTCGCAATGACGAGGGGACTGAGAGCCAAAACAGAGTGGGGGTCAGCTCAAGCGAGTAGGACCAGGCGGGGAGTGAAGGCAAATGCATGAGGTCAAAGGCGGGGCTAGTGCAGCGTTGTGCAACCTGGTCCTACCGAGCTGGCTCCTGTGTTGTTTCACGCCGACCAACAAA